ACCATTTTTCAAAAACACTGTCGGACATATTTCAATGGCAGCGACTCCACTATGCAGCAACGCTATCTGAAGTTGCAACTTGATGATAATGGGAAATAAATATCGCTACGCAGACTACACGAATCCGAAACTAATTAAAATTTAAAGTTACAGTACACATTCAGTTACATTAAGAAACAAAACAAGAGCTAACTGCATTTAAATTACCTTCAAATTGCTACACAGCTGCAGTTTAACCTAACCAACAAATTCTTCTCGCGCAGTAACAAGCAACTGGCTTCTTCTGAGAAAAACAAACGAAACGCGATACTCTGGGCGCGTTCATGCGTGGCGAGAAAAAGTTGCTGCACGCAAAGACAGGGTGTTTTCAATTTGTGACTTCTTATAAAGTGGAGGGAAAAGCAAATTGTGAAAATATAAATAACAAATACGTTTTAAATTAATATAATATAGAGTGCTATACAGATTTATAATTATAGGGAGTGAAATAAATAAGAAAGGAGTTCATATTTCAAGAACCAAGAATGAATAACTGCTGTAACCTGTAACCTTACATGAATAAACATGGACTCATTAGCGGCCATATTCCACAAAGACAGTCTCATCCTATCGCAACAACAGTAGCAGTAGTATGGAATTACTCAATATTTCGTAATAGATGTTAATTAATGTCCGGTTGGCCGGGATTTGAATTCTGACAGACATACCACGTCTAGACCATCTGTCGGTTCCGCCCAACCTTTTATCCAATATATCGACTCCATACCTTTAACAATAGCCGAAACCTGACGAACCTTCATTTAGTATCGTGCTCTAGAATGCGTGGAGATTTATCTCCACGTTCCATACATGCACTCATGGAACGATAGATAGCTAGACACGAATTCAAATTTAACCTTTAGTTTTATATGATAAAAAGTCAGGATTCTTCATGAATAAAAATTTCCTTTGATATTTTCCATCGTCTAGTAAAATAATAAACTAGAAAGACGACGTTTCGGATATGGGACTCTATCCCTGAAACGTCGATCTTCTATTTTATTATATTACTAGACGATGGAAAATATCCAAGGAAATTTTTATTCAAGTAACTCACCATCGTCAAGAACTTTTAGGATTTTTCATTTTCTACAAAAATCTAGGGTCTTTTCCGCACAAAAGTCGTTTCTTCAACCTCTTTAAGGTAAAGGGCAATGACTTAAAGAACCACAATTGATTTTTATGTTTAAGTGTGTTGAATCAATATTCCTACATTTAATATTATTGTTATCAAATAAGAGAGGATAGGATGGACAAGAAAGGTTGCATGTACAGGAGGGCCAAGAAGTACTTACAAATTTTTGGTTACTAAACCTCTGAGAAAGGAGGTCACATGGCAGACGCAATTGCAGAAGAACTATTTTAAAAATATATGAAAAGTAATAGTTTATGTGAACTGGATCGAACTGGCTTAGTATAGAGTCTAATTATAGGATTTCTTGAATATAGTAATGATCATCAGGATTTCGTAAAATCAGTGACTTTTGTAACTAGCAGAAAACTGTCAGTTGTTCTAGAAAGATAGTGCATTGTGGATTCAGTTACCCGGTCAAATTAAATATTAGTACAAAACTGTTAGTTGTTCTAGAAGGATAGTGCATTGTGGAGTCAGTTACCCGGTCAAATTAAATATTAGACTGTTGTATTCTTCTTTTAAAATGCTTTATATGCAGCAGAGGTTATATATACATAGTTTGGATTTTAAATGACAGGATGCTTGAATAAGTTGTCTTAACCGATTTCAAAATACTCTTATGGAAATTAGTTTCGTTCTTCCTGTAATAAATTAGTGTTCTAGCAAGTAAATAATTGCTTTTTTATTTATTTCCATACAAAGTAAAATATATTTCTCACGGCGACAGTTAGTAAGAAGTAGCACAGACAATAGAAGTATTTATTTTTCAGTTACATTATAATGCGGCAAATATAAACAGGGTAAAACATATTGGTTTTTAGGCAAGATATCTCGGTCGTAGCATGGAAGGTGTTGGAAAAGCCACAAAATCAAGGTGTTGACATGCCCCGTTCTTGCAGTTTCTTCTTGCCTCCATCTTGTGCCCTGTCTCTGTCTTTCGCTATTTGAATTGCAGGAGATGTCTGACAGACTAAGACAAGACGAATGAATAGATGAATGGGTAGAAGGAAGGAGAGAAATTCAGCTAGGAAGCGTCCTATATTTTGTTAGACATGTGCCTTTATCCACTGGATGTGTTCATTTGGCGGTGGAATTAGAATCCCGACCCCCCCCCCCCTTTCGGAAGGCTTGATGGAATTGCATGCTGGGACTTGAGGAATAAATTAGAGACCCCTAGGAGAACTTTGAAACGTGTTATAACGACGGAGGCTGTTTCCACTAGCTTTAACAGCCAACCACCTTCGGAGATAACCATTCGAAATATACATTTTCAACATCTGAAAACACCACGCTGTGAGGCAGAAAACTCTCAGAAGTTGTGATTTTTAGTTTATTGGAATGGATCCCGTCTGAGCTATTCATACAAATATAGCACCTATAGTAATTGCCTGATAATTAAAATGTTAAACGACGCAGATTAAACTTCAGAAGTTATTTAAATCACAGTAGGTAAGGATTTTGAAAGTGACAGTCATGGCACATTTACAGTTAGACATTCTATCCAGAAATGTTGTTGAACTGATATTTTATTATTTTTTATGTCATTTAAAAACTTTTATTCAATTGCAAAGCTAACAGATTGCTCGTAACTTCGAGTCCCACATTTGACAAAATTGTCTATTATTCGGAGGTATAGCCATGGACGGGCATGTAGCACGCATGGACTCACAAGGCGCACATCGTAGTTTTGGAAGCCTAATGGGAAGAGCCCACTTGGAAGACATAAACATAGATGGAAGGATAGTATTAAAATTGATCTTAAAGCAACAGAGTTAAAGGTTTGGATCAGATTTATTTGGTTTAAGATAGGGATCGATGTGGGGTTTTTGTAAACAAAACGGCGACATTTTTGGTTTCACAGAAGGAGTAAAATGTCTTAACTAGTGACATGAATGACAGATTTAAAGAACTGCCGAAAGGTTAATAAAGGGAATAATAAATTTTGTAAAGAATTTGGGTGCACTAGCCTCTCCACTGAGGTTTACTAAGAGAGATTTCAGATTCTCACGACTGCCAGAAAGAAGATGACCGACTTCTGGGATGTTGCGCCATGTAGCATCGTAGAACTTGACTGACGTTTCAGAGGCTTTTGCTGCCTCCGTGAGCTCATCGTTTTGATAATGGATGAATTAAGCACCTCTGTGACGTCGGTAAGCTTCTAGAATCATCCCAGAAGTAAACCATCTTCTTTTATAGTATTTCATGATAATCTGTCAATTTATTCGTTTACTTTTCCTTTATTTGTTTATTTTCTGTCTTTCTATATTTCCTTCTTTCTTAATTTTGTATTTTTCTCTTTGTCTTTCTTACTCAGCACTGTCTAAAGAGGAAAGTAAGTGTGAAGTAGACCGGAGTAAATATGAATCAAATTAAAAGACTGTGTTTCGGACTGAAGCTACTTTGAGAGCTGAGAAAGAGATTAGAAGATTATGTTAGGTTGATTTTAGAAATAAGTTTTGATTATGGTCTGGGACGGGGACAGAAATGGTCCAGAAGATCATTAGCATTAGTGATATGGTACCTCCGTGTTCTTCTTAAAATATATCGAATTTATTGTAGTAACCATCTTCTACTTGGTCTTCCAAATGTCTGCTTTCTGTGACGTCCCCCCACAAAGCATTCTTTTATCCGATGTCGACTCTTTCACTTCTTTTCGTGACTTTTATTTATGAGAGTAAAATTGCTCTGCTCTGTGTTGAACAAAACCATGAGGTTTGTGCTGCGGAGGTGGAAGCTGGCGGTGGTTTTAGGGGCGCAAAACACGGGCTGACAAAGCCAGCTAACACTACTCTGTACAGGGGTTGACGAGAGTTTAAGTTTAACACTGCATCGCTTCCACCTGCCTGTCATAATCATGGTGTTCAGATTATGCTGACCGTGATGGAATTACCAAGTTTAGGTTATGAGTGGGAATTTCGCAACAGAGTTGTGGTACCTGTTACAACGTCTCCCCTGAACTCATCACCCCTGCTTCCCCGCTTCTCCGCTTCTCTTCTTATTGAGATAAACTGATTTTCAGCTGTAACTAAGACACTCATAATGATGAGACGTGTTATTGCAAAACTAGGTTTCAGTATTTTCTGTTTTGTATTAAAGTCGTAAGATTATATCATACTATAGTAACTAAAATTCTTCCACAATTACCTTCCTGAAAAGTGGCCTTCAAATTAACGTCTTCAAGATAAATTAAATTGGTACGTTAAAGAGAGGACAATAGTTTTATAGAAATGTGAACTGGATTATTGTAAGTCTGTGTAAATTAGAGTAATGTGTGGAAATTAAAATGAGCCTTTGATTTTGATAACATTGGATAATTTTTTAATTAGTCCTTAAACTACTGACTACTCAGGGAAGAGAGCGTACACTTGGTTATGTAGGAAGTTAATAAATCAACTTATTTGCTTGCTTAATTTGACAGTAATTTTAACATATAATAATTTTGATCATTGAGTTTTATTCATAAGTTGATATAATTGAGTCATTGAATTAGAATTTAATTATTCGTGTTTTTTTTTCGTCTAATCACAATTGTATATAAATAAAATTATACATAAGATATTAAAGAACATATAGCAGCTATAAAATACTACAAAGACAATTCTGCATACGCCAAACATATTCTGAATACCGGACACGCATACAACACAATAACAGGAACAATGGATATTTTAAAAATAGTACAAAATAAAAGACATAGAGATACAATAGAAAAATATTATATACAACAAACATTTAAACAAAACCTTTGCCTAAACGATAATAACATATACCTTAATAACCCCATCTTCAATGTCCTCCAGACGCTTGACCCCAACCCTAACAACCACCTTTCACCTACTCTCTCTATAAGTGATCAGTATTGATCCAGTTCTCCTCGGATACGTTAGTACTTCTGAATACCTTCAAGACATATCTACGCTCTTCCTCGGTATGTTCATTTTTACATTTTACCTGCCATTTTTATTTATATTTTGACGTGGTTAAAATCAAACTTAACTTAAGGAAGACTACAGGCTCTTATGTGTGCGCGTACGCCAGGACTCAGTTTTATGGTCCGTACTTCTTAACCCCCAGGGTAATATCCTCCGATACCCATTTGACGAGAAGTTGAATAAGATAGTGTAATTGCGACATATTGTGAATATTCTAACAATTATTTATTTTCATCCGTCTTATCACAATAAATATTGTGATAAGACGGATGAAAATAAATAATTGAGAAGTTGAATGGGTCTCAGACAGGACAATAATTCATGTATTAGTAAATTAGACAGTTTTCAAAGTTCTTTGTAAAGGATCCCATGCACGGTGATGCTAGGTGGTGATACAAGCAGAGCGTATTGTTAACTGCAGTTTTACATTTTGAAATAGTAGAAAGAAATTGCTTGTGAGAAGAATGTCAGTACCCAATTTAACTGTACCAGTTTTGGTTTCACTTGTACTTGTTTTGAGTGATTTTTTTTTAAAAAGTAAAATATTTAATTTGTAGCGACGTGTATAGATTCTTTAGAAATCGAACCTGTTAATTGTGCTTGTATTTTAAATAAAATCATTAAATTGATGGGAAAATACAGGCCTACGTTATTACATGATGTTTACGCGTGGGTTTTGATACAACATCGTTATTAAAATTGTAAAATAAACTTGTTATAAACACATTTTTTGTGACGTTAGCATAAAGGTTTGTGTTCAGGCTTAGGAATTACTAGAGGTAAATCTATTTCAGTTATAATTCTGAGTTAAGAATTATTTTATAACTTATTTTACACAATCTCAAACCTTGTTACAATTTCGCTGTTACCGGTAGGTGTCTCTTGAGATAATGACGTCAGTCGGACGACATGACAGTAGCAGGCAGACCAATGGCGGACCCTGCCCTCGTCTGTATGACAGTATTTCTCATCAACTTCTCCCTATTTCCTCTTTTCTCTCATTTTTATCAGCTCTTGACTGCAAGATGAGGGAAAGACAAAGAGACTGAATGCGTGTGAACCGCGCGCTGATATGCGATATATCGAGTTGAACATTTCCGCGTGACTGTTGATACGTCAGCGTGTGTTTTGTTTTTTCCTGTTCATCTCAGAGAGCGCGCGGAAATTAGAACCAGGTAAAGCTCCAGAATATGTTTCAGCGTTGCTGCTTGTGTCGGCAAACTTTCTAGTAATATCCATCCATCTTTTCTGTGAATAGATTGCTTGTATGTGTTTGTGTGTACACTCGTACAGAAGGTTTCTCTGCGTCACTGCATGAGAGAAAGAGTGACGCATGTGCACGTTTCTTTATTATATAGACTTTTCTCTTTCAGAGATCTGATTTTGAGAATTTATATTGGTATATTATTATCATGCTGGTAGACATGTTTTAAAATTTAGGGGGTGAAAAAGTATTAATTAAATAATGTACAGAGAGAAAGAACGATAAAAATTATACTCAAAACCTAAAAACATTGTTACATCGTTTTTGTTTTGAGAACCATCTCTCTTTGCTTTTCCTGTATTATTGATGTTTCTTCTCTCTGCAAAGACGCATGGCGTCCTTTTAACATCCCTCCACGTCTCTCAAACCCACCTCCAGTCCCTCCCTCCCGCTCTACACACATTTCCTAGGAGCAAATCCTCTTCAAAATGTAGAACTGCGCCTTCATTTCTCTCCCCACACACACCCTCGCCAAACCTAGAAGCTGTGGTGGTTTTCTGACGTATACGTTCCTGATTGGTTGGTTTTGGTGAGGAAAAGACAAGAATATTTCAGAAGCTGTGTTTCTCTGAGGGGCTTGAAGGGGAGAGGGTTCGTTTTTGGGAAGGAAAAGGCGGCCAACGAGAATTGGTGTTTCTGGGAACTTTTCATACGACGTGCAACCGCGTGTAGGATCTTACGGGAGCTCCTGCCAATGCTTTATTTAGCTGCTGAATTGTCTTCACCGTCACGAGGTGATGCTCTTTAGCTCAGTTGTCATTAATTAAGACTCATACAACAGAAAATCGCAGAGTAAGGTTTGTGCTCCTGCTTCGTTTCGATAGGTATCGCTTTCGTTATCGACTCAGAAATGAGATATACTGAAGTACATGGTTGCTCTCTGTTCTTCGATGCTTGCAAGTAACAAATTGGCAGTCACCCACAAATCGACGATATAGAAACTTTACAGCTCGAAAAACCACGAAACAAAATTAAGTATTACCACCAAACTTTACGGTGTAGCGGTTGGTAAGATTGCTGTGTATATGGGAGATCTCGGGTTCGATTAAATATTAAAGAAATAAATTGTACTGCCTCGTACTTTTCTGGTATTACTCAGAATCTCCAGGAAAACTATGGGATATTATATAGAAACATGACTCAAGTGCTACCTTCCGCTTACCTTTCAACTAAGCATTCCATTTCACTATACATATTCTATGTAACTAAGAATCAAGTAGTGTTAAGTCCAATTTCAATTTCTCACGACGGCGAATATAAAGATGACAGCCTTCTGGACTCTTGTGTCGTGTAGTCTCGTAGGAACTGGCCGAAGTTTTATAAATTCTTACTCCTTTCATTATCACGCTCAATAGCTCTGATAATGAAGGCAGTTAAAATCTCTGAAACGTCTATAAATTTCTAAGACACAAGACTACACAGCGCAAGATCCCTGGAAAATATATATCTTTATACTCACCGCAGTCAGAACCTGAAATCTTACTTAGGCTATATTTGTTTAAGTACTTCTTATTTGTCAGAACTTAGGTTAGGTTTGAAAAGATTAGGATTTTTGACGCGAAAGCTATTTTATATTTCTCTCTAGTTTGTTATTCATTACTCGTTTCTGAAAAGTTAAATTTCTTAAATAGTTTTGTAATTTATGTATGTGACAGGGTATGACTACACATAAAAAATGTTACAGTGATAGAGTCTATATAATTTGTCGTGGATTGACATTTTTGAATTCCATTCTTAAGCACAGTCAGGTTGAAAATTTTGAGAAACAATCGATTTAAATTTGTAATAATACAAAGACGGTCGCCCCTTACCTATGGAAGTAGGCATCACGCACTGCAAAGTGTCTTGCGGAAAGAAATGAGTAACAAGTTGCGATGCTCTGGAGGGTAGAGGAGATACTAAAAAAAAGCATTGCCACCAGCGCTGAATTCCTAACCCTGGTACGGGAATTCCTCAGGGCTTATAAAACCTGAACCAAACGCAAGAAGATGGAAGAACAAAACACAAAACGGGAAAATGTAAGGTGCTTTGTTTCATATTATGTTGGGGGCTTGTATGAGAACATTTCCGTATAAAGTTACTCGTCCAATCGCCGTGCTTCAAGTATAGTACCCAAAGAGCTAAGGCAAATTATATTTCTCTCCCTCGCTGTACGCCCTCTTGAAACCTTTTCTTGAGTGGAAGAGTGTCACATCCACCTCTTTAATTCACCATATTCTATTCCTCATGTCACAAAGACGAAAAAAGAAGTGAGTTAAATTTCCACTTGTTATAGAATTCAGCAATACGTGTAGGTAATTACTCATCTTTACCCTAGGGCCGTCTTAAGCACAGGGTAACAGCTCCAGGAGGATATCAGAGAGGAGGCGGGGAGGATCCCAGCGGTAGTCTGTAATTTCGCTTTTCACCCCTAGTGAATTGATTTCAGTCCAACTCTGGTGATGACCCAGTCCGCTTACCTGTGGACGATTGAGGTTCTTTCTAATGGGCAAAAGCGGCCGGTGCCTGAAGCTAACCACGCACTTTAATTAATAGTATTTGCTGGTTCTGTCATTACGGTGATCGCCCTGATATTGGAGGCAGCAAGAACCTCTCCAGTGAACATCCCAATAGCTATTTGCCACCGCGAGAACCAGAAATATCACCTTTCAAAGTATGGTGTTTTTCCTACAGAATAAACATGGAATTTAGAATTGTCATGCATGTATCAAGCTGTGATACTGGCGATCGATTTATTTCATAAACTACGTTGCATTGCCTTCATGCCTATGATATACCTCTGAATTGGTTTTCCAAGAATAACATCTAGACTTGTGTCGTTCTTGGACTTACGAAACTATTGCAGGAGCTTTGCCTCGCAGGTTGCTGCTTTGCCAGGGGCAAGGCTCGGTTAGACGTGGTAGAAGGGATGCTTTTAACCAGCCTGTTCCTTGCTTCATTCTCTTCGTATAAGCAACCTTCTCTCCCAACCCTTGTGCTATTTCCTAACTAATTTTCTGTTAGACGTACCCCTTTTCCACATTTTCGTGGCTTGTCCCTTCCAAAACCTTACTACTTCACTGCTTTAAAAATATCATCTTAATTCCGTATAGGGTTTTTATTTCTATTCTGTCTTACTGTAGGGGCTTGAAAATCTGCTTCTAGGGAGGTACAGGTGTGGCACGATAAAGAGGAATATACATTGTGCTCGTTGAAAGCAGTAGACTGTCAACTGTCTGGGTTGACTGGGTTGACTGGGAAATATATTTTCCTGGAAAAATGAAAGAAAAACATGAAATTGTAGCAAACACACAAGCTTGTTCACAGACCTACACAACTTAAATTGTTAAAGATTTAATAATAACAGAAATAATTTTATATGAATTTTGACACAGTACACACTAACTATTTTTCAGAAAAGGATCATTCTGTTAGTAATAACTTTCTATTGCCGTAAGCTTAAGGTTTTAGTAAAAATTGATTTATGTTAGTACTTTAAATAATGTAATCCCAGTTAATCCGTAAACTACTTAATCCGCCCCAGGATAATCGGGAGTTTAGTTTAAAATAATTCTGACACAGTGAACCTGGAATTTCGTTTAGAAGACGAAGATTTTTTATTCCTACAGGCTACTATTATTCTGCGTCATTGACCAAAATATATCTGTGAAAATATTAATCTAGAATCGGAAGCGATGAAAATAGAAAATATTAAGATGGCTGTCTTCCGAGATGTCACACCTTGATGAATGCAATAAACTCTTCTGAAACGTCGGTCAATATCTACCAGACTAAACAGTGCAACATCCCAAATGACATTCATTTTCACTTGTCAGTTTGAGAACGTCAAATATCACCTGCTCATTTATATTTTAATAATAATATTTAACATTCAAGACACGACATTACGAAAAATTTTGAATGGAATGTAGCAGGTATTTCCTGAATTGGCCTCCTCTGTCAGCTGGAGATGGCGCCACATCCCTGAAGATTCATACGTACTCAGACATTTAAAATTTCACATTAAGATCATTCAAATTATTAAGCTACGTAAACTGTTTTGTATCACATATTTGGAATAATAATTTTTCCTGTTTATTTGTATAGACCTTATTTTTTCTGTTGATCCGGGGTCAATAGAACTGCAGGTCCTGCAGTAGACCTCAGAGTCGGCAAAGAACGCCTCTCATCTACCCAGAAATCGGCTAGTCATCTTATCGATTTACCATAACTCGCTTTGGTTAGTTTTGTTCTACAAAGTATATATAGAATACAACATAAAAACATTTGAAATGAGAGGAATACTTTTGAGAATACCGTAATTTAGAGCCGTGCGTGCTTTTCTGTTGTTCGGATATTATAGATACTGATTTTATCGAATTTCTAAAAACAAATATGGATACAGTTCCAGATCAAGATTCCTATGATTAATAATGCCCTATTATTAGCGATACAATCATACCTGGTGAAACATAATTTTAGGTTGTTGAAGTTCTGTGTGTCAACCCTTTGAAGCCAACGCTCATGTAAAAAAATATTTAAATACGTAGCCCGTACCTGGACGAAAACACAACGCTTTACTATTAAAATGTTTAATTTGTTAACGTTTTTTAAGGAAATAATCGCTGTTTATGTTGAAAAATATACAAAAGCCATACATACATTCTGTGGGCAAAATTACGAATTAAGCTAAAAATGTTGTTAACATTACGGAACGTGCATCACGTAACATCATAAACACACGGCCTCTAATAACCCAATCAATAAAGTTACTGGCTATTAGCTGGATGACCGGGGTTCGATTCCCGGAAGGTGTAGGAACTTTTCAATATATCGCTTATCGTGCGTCAATACGCCACACCCAGGTTCCTATCCGGATGGAATGTGGACGGATTGCAAAGCTGACCATTAACATGTACCTAGTGTCGATATTAAAAAAGAGTGGAGCTGTACCTCCATGCTCCCTATACATTCTTGGCGTGATGCTTAGGCATTGGACAAGTTTTTCTTTGTAAGACTTGAGGTTCTCATAGCGGTGAATATGAAGATTTCTTTGTCTTCTCTGTTGTTGTGAGTAATAATAAAACCTTTCAATGTCTGATTCTTCAGAACCCTACACTTTCCTTATCAGCTGATTCGTAAGTGTGGACCTCAGGGCTTCCACTTGAAGAAAACTCATCCCTAGTTGACTTATGCCGCTTTTGTTGTGTGAAGGCGATATTTATGGGAGGAGAATAAGACTTGGGAAGTTGTTTTAGTTATAGAAATGTTATCGTGGGAAATTTCGGGACAATAAATATCTCTGCCCCATCCTCCTAGCCTCCTCTCTACGACATAAACTTGTATTTTGTTCAATTTAACTTATTAAACCTTAAACATTGCACTGTTTGGAGGGGCAGTGGCGTGATACAAAACGTTTGTCATGGAAATAGGGGAACTGACTATTACAATATAAACTCGACCTCGTATAAATAGCGAAACTTACGCTGAATTCATGATGACTTGTGGTTGTATGAATCATCACAATTATAATCTCTACACATACGTAAACTCTAAAGTCTGGAGAATAAATAGCTGCCTATTTAACGATGTTATATCTACTTTAGCACTTATTTATCATGGAATAACGTGAAAGGGTGATCTCTTTTAGTATACTTAGAAGTAGTGGAGAGGAACGTTCGTGGCCTCTTTTGAGGAAGTATCGTATGTAGGAAGTTAGAAGAAACACGAAAATTATCAGTCAGGATATCTGGTGTCTCAGTCGAGAATCGAAACTGGTAACGTTTGAATTGTACGCCTTGTACTGTGGTGCATAGGCAAAAAATGTTAATCTTGCTTTCTCGTGCAATGTCAAAAAGGACATTTATCTTGAAGGAGAAATGGTAATGGAAATTTTTGTAGGTTCCTGTTGTTGTTTTTTTTGCATAGTCTTTGAAGTATTACATTCTGATAGCAAAACTCGAACTACGTAGGATCTGAGGTTTTCACAGCGCCCTGATTATGGAAGCAGCAAGGACCTCTGAGACGTCGGTAAACTTTTACCAGATTACGCGGCGCAAGAACCCAGAACTTGAAATGTTGAGGGCACCAGTCAATATTCCTAAATTTGTGAAGCAGTTTAGCAGTTCGACGACAGTCGCCACCAGACGTTGTGACGAAAAAAATAATCTACCTGTGCCGGTAATCGAACTACGGTCGACGGTAGGCTAGTCATTTTACTGACTCATTTCTCAGAATTTAGGTTAAGGGTCAACATTTCTGGGTCATGCTGTAGCCCGTTGTTTGGCTCCAAATCAAAACTTTTCTCTGTAACACGAGGGTAGGTAGTATTACGCATTATTATTAGGGTCCCACTTACAAATCGGATAGTTTTCTTATTAGCAAAACTGAACAGATTTTATATGTCAATTAGCACAGCCGATTAGAATGGACCCATTATATGTAAATCCCTAAGTTCCTGATTGGCCAACCTTGGTTATAGTAGAGGGAAACTATTTGATTAAATTATGTTAATTCTAGTTCAGGGGGTGTCTTGGTTCGCTGTGGGGGTTGGAACAGCAGCGAAATATGATTGGTTCTAGCATTTATGCGGGGGTGGAGTTTGAATTTAGAGCGATTCATCTACTAGAATCTGCGGATACAATAGCATTAGAAACGTTTTAGGGTGGGTAACTATGACTGTGTAGCCAATGGGGTTCGTAAAGGGGTGGAGCTTATAGATTATAGTGATTGATAGAAAAGGTGTCTGTTAATAGTGAAACTAGGCGTTGTGGGTCAGATTTCGTGCTAGGCACAAGAACATGCTAAAAATCGATATGAACTGGGTGCTTACCCTGTGGAATGCAAGTATTAAAACAGCGTTGGGGGATGATTGTATGGTGGTGACATCTATCGGCACGCAATATCATTAAAATAATTTCAAATTTCCCCCTTTGCTTCCCCACTACTTGTGTAGGATGATCCATCTTAACTCTATGAGATTTCGGGTTCTGATGGCGGCGAGTATAGAGATCAGTTGTCTTCTGGGATGTTGGACCGTGCTGTGCGGTAAAATTTCCCGTCGTTTCAGAGGTGGTTACTGCCTCCATTATTAGAGTGCAACATCCCAGAAGACAGTAATCTTCATCACAAATCTGTTTCAAATTGCGTAATTTTTTTTAATTTCAGATGTTCGCTTAACTGCGCCGTGCTATCTGCAAAGAAGCTGATGAAAGCTGCCATCAAAAACAGGTACTGTTAATGAAGTTAAATTTGCCTCGGAAATGAGTTGACAGGAAAACAGACAATAACTAGATATTCCTAAAAGTCGCAAAAGGAATTTATAAAATGTCTTACAACCTAACCACGTATGAATAAAATCAATTCCTGTACTTATAATATTTGCAGATCTATTCTCGGTCATGTTTCCTTGACAATAGTATACAGACACGTAAAAGTAAAGTAAAGTTTGGGGTGAGTGGAGGTATAGCTCCTCTTTTCCTTGAACTCGGCACTAGATGGGGGTGAGTGGTCAGCATCACGCCCCGGCCGGCTTTACCCCCGGGAAACGACCCCGGTACCCATTGTAGAGGAGGCTGGGTCGGCCCCAGAGCCGGTCTGAACGCAGAGGCTAGAGGAAAAATCCTCTGCCCCCGTCGGGGATCGAACCCCGGTCATCCAGCCCGTAGCTAGTCACTATTTTTGTGTCTTGCTTAATGACACTGTCAATAATTGATTGTTAAACGTTGCAGCCTACAATAACAGACTGATTAGTGAATAATTAATTATAAATCTGATTCTCCCTAATTTTAAGTTTTAGTGTGGAATTTTCTCGTAAGGACAGAGTAAAACCATGAAAATTCCCAGTAAGGATAGCTAGTATCCGGGCCGAGATTTGAACAAGAAGCAGGAATACTAACCACTCAAATTTATTATCATGGCGAATAAATTAAAAAAATGAGAAGTGAGTGAAATATATCACGAAAAACGAAATTAGAAATGCATACAAATTTTAGTCTGAAAGCGTGAAGGAAAGAAATACCATGAGAAATCTAGACCTATATAAAAGGATAATAATATAATGTGTCTTAAAGATGTGGGTGTGATGGTGTGGAGTGGTATAAACTGGGCCCAATGATGAACTTTCGGGAACATGATAATGAATTTTTGGCTTTACTGAAGTGGGAATTTCTTTAATAGCTGAATTAAATTTTACAAAATTCCAGCATCGTGTTCTTAAGCGTTTGAAGACCTTGGGCGACATTCACAATTTTCTGACCGGCTCCCTGACCTCTTAATTATAGTAAGGACACGTTATTGAAACATCATGGCGATGCATTAAAATACAACTAACTTACCAATGCAGGCAGTTTTACTTATAATTAATCAAATCCACAACCTTCTATAACAAATCAGTCATTTGTGAGATATTGAAACCTCTTCAGCTTCATTTAACTTGATATTAGGTTTAATTTTTATTTCTGTGTTTCGTTTGCATCTCTCCAAATGTTCATCACTGAGACCCAATTACAAGCCTAGCTCTTGATCAGGAACTTTTCATTAAACTGAATAATTAATCATAGCGATAATTACTGCCAAATACTGCTGACATTAACAAAGCGTGTGTGTATTACACTATCTGAAAATTGTTAGACATAATTTGAAAATTTCGTAACGTCGTCATATTTAAATATAAAATACTAAAATACTTGATACAATTTTGTTGGCCTGTGGACAGGTCTGGCGTGTAGTCATAACAGATTTCACACGCCTACGTTTCAGGCTTTATTTGCAACGAAACGGAAATGGGGTGATTTGCACTATAAGTGACCACTTTAGTACAGAAACGTCAGTACCATAAGCATGTCACCCCCTCATATGCCGGACTCCCCTCTCGCAGTCACACATTTACATTAACACGCACTGCGTGACACAGTGGCTCACTAACGCATTTAATCCAGGACCAAACACATTCATTATGCGTGTTAAATTCCTCCACCGTATACAAAACAAACCCGAAATATAAAATAAATGATGCTGTATGAAGATAACATTCTTCTGGGTTGTTGTGTCGTGTAGTCTGGTAGAAATTTACCGATGTTTCAGAGCTCCTTATTGCCTCCATTCCTCTGATGATGGAGACTGCAAGCACCTCTGAAACGTCGGTAAACGTCTATCAGAGTACACGACTTAACAGTCCATAATACAGCCATTCTAATACTCTCAGCTGGGAGAACCTAAAATCTCAAAAATAATGCTGAAACATGTTAGTTACGTTCATGCGGTATGATACCAGATTATTCTCAGCATTGGGTATACTCTAGTCATTTAAATTAGAAGTAGTTGTCCTGATACAAGAGCATTACTCCCTGAATTCGTTAAAAGGCGTGGATAAAAGGCTCTACGTATTATGTATTTTTATTAGCTGTGGAGGTGTGTTCATCTTTAAATCCGGTCAATTTTCCTACGAGGAATTATCGTTTGGTATCTACCAGACAGGAAGCCGGGTGTACCTCATATCATTTATAGACCTATCAATATTTTTACTGATATACTCCTCTGTCTATTCCTAATGTAATAGCCAATGTTCCATCACACTCGTCTTGACGGATAAGCCGTTTGGGCGGTAAGGAAATAATTTAAATTAAATTCTAAAGGTGGCAACTCTGGAAGCGAAAAATGCAAAAGAGTTTATGGTGGTGTCTATGGTGAGGTCTAGCTGAGTCTGGAGTCAGTTGGTCGATTTTGTGTTACTGTGTTTGGACGAAATCTGGCTTCAGTCGCCGTGAAGATATTTTCACATTGAATTTGGTTTATAAATGAATTGTATATATTTTGTACTACAATTCGATAAGAAAAAATAATTCTGTAATAAATTAAATTACTGTTCGATCTATTTAGATTTCATTCCCGTGAAATCTGAAGGGCCGTAATCGACACTTAAAAAAACAAACAATGAGCAAATCACTTTTAGCTATATAACAATGTAGTTGAACAATGCAGGAATTATTTGAGCTTCGTTATCCCGTACATTGATTTATACAGGATGAGGGAGAACACAAATCAAGTGCTGAATTGTAGTTTTCGCAGGCAGGAAGAATTAGTACGTCCTGTAACACAATGGTCCACACAATCGATATCAAAGCGTGCACTGGGGGACGAGAAGAGGGAGTAATTGTATTGTTGCCAAGCGGGGTTCGAACCTTGTTCACTGCACACATCATGACGATATGAAATGCAATATCAACCCTCCAGTCACTCGGTCTGCGACCGTCAGAATGCGCCATAATAGCAGAAGTGGTCATATCCATCTCTGTGAATAATTAAACACGTATTCACATTTACAATTTAAATAGTGTTTTTCTTTCGAATGTCTTAACGCTTCTTTTTTTATTCTAATGTTTTATCTACTTTTACCTTTGAATAAGAATCTCTTGTAATTTTAATTCTCTATGTGAAATGAAAGATACGACTTAATAGATCTTCATATTTACGCACGAGACATCTCGGGTAGAGGCACTTTCACTTTTTTCTGGGTTTGTTTAATTCTTGAGAAGCTTAGTGTAAGAATTTGTCCTGTCATCTAATGACACTTTAATATGAATGTTTCAAAATTATACCTGCTACAAATTCTACAATTTTCTAAAGATATTTGCAGTCATACATCCAAATAGATGTTACAGTTTACTTACAATTTAAATTAGCTTACCGAGTTCTACAAACAAGTTATCAACAACCTGAGAACAACAGAGATAGTGAAGGCAATCTAAAGGGGTCAAGACGTAACATTTGTCTCAGCAGTAATACACAAACTTATCGACCTACACTCACTGAAACTACAGGCCTGTTTTCTACATCAAAAATAAAAGCAAGTGACCACCAGATTTTAGGAACACGCGTAAGAATACTATCGAAAAACAACATTAAAATTATTAGTGAGAAATATTTTGCCTACATTTAGTTAAATATTCACATAAAAGTATTTTTTTAAAAAAAATTGTATACGTATTGGTGAGGTCATATAGTGTGAAATAATTTTCAAAGATAATACAATTTTGAGAAAATTAATATATTTGATATGATCTTTGCGTAAATTTGAGGCCATACCCAACTTGACTGATATGACGTTACCTCAACAAATTTTAATTTTGAGCTTATGTGTCATCTTAATCAAAATTTACAAAATAATTTTAAAGATGAGATATATGACGACAGACGAACCTGACCTCACAATTATACATTTATTTTCATGAAAAGAACACAGAAAGATAAACACGCTCATAGTTGAGTAGCAAATGTTTCTGCTTTAATTGTGTTTATTATTTAATGATGTTATCGCGAAGTCCTGCAGACCTTCTGTCAACCCTAGGAATTTAAATCTGTCTATGTGTGTCTTCACCAAGCAGATATGCGTAGGCAAGTTATTACCTACCTGACTGGTTACAACTCTGAGACACACCGGCTGACCTCAGTAGTTGGTGGTTGTTCTGCCGTTCGGGAAGGACATCGTTAGGCAAGCAGAGACGCAACTGCAGTCACACAACTAAAGTGCTCTGAGGTTAGTTGTCAGTAGTTTAGAAGTAACATACGCCACTCATGCTACAACTAAATTTCATATTGTCTCTAGAGAGAATTAAGCTCATGTTCTACGAACCGGAATTCTAAACAGAGTTAAATCTATTTTTATTTGGATGAAATGAGCTTAAACATTGATTTATGTTTAATATAGAAATGCCCTCTTGTGATGCATTTAGTTTCTAGCATTTCGCTTACAATTTCCAATAGAGCAGAGTTTTCTGTCAGAACCGTCCGTTAAATTCTTCTCTCGACACGTCACGAGTCCCATCCGCTGGGACACAATTTATTGGCTGTTGGTTTCATCTCAACTTCCCAGAATTCAGCCACTGAAACGTGACTGCTTGTCAAATGGGGCATTTAATCCTTTGGTTAATTGATTTGTAGGATATCCAACTATACCGTATGTCTAATGAGTACGTAGGGGAAATATTCGTAAAAATATCGAGTCTTACGCTATTTAATGACACTTGTTTACATGTAGAGGTTATTTCCCTTGAGCAACTAGCTAACATTAACATTTTACGTCATTCGCAACTTTCTGCGAAAAGTTACATTCGAGTCACTATGAACACAGTTTTAATTTAATTAACTTCTGTTTCTTTTGATATTTTTGATGCTAACATAACACAATAACATCTGTCTATATGTATCATTTTTATCCTATTTGGCTTAGA